GCCGGGAGCTGTAGTTCTCCCGCCGCCGCGGGGAACGCGCGAGAAGGGGGTGGAGAACTCCAGCTCCCAGAGTGCTTCGCGAGTCGGAGGGCGCTGAGAAGGGGTTTCGTGGGTCCGCCCGCAAGGGGCGGGGCGGTGCAGTGGGCCGGAGAGAGCAGGCCGTGGGCTAGCGCTCGGGCCCGGTCTTGCTGCGGCTGAAGGCCGCGGGGCTGAGGCCGGAGCCCTGCGCTCCTCTCCCTCGTTGCTCCTCTGGCGGGGAAGCCAACGCATGCTGGGGTGCTGCGCTGGGGGCCTGTTTGTGCAGCCAAGGGACATGTGGCAACGGGTTGAAGTGTTGCCAAGCGTTGCGGCAGTGGGGCAAGGGGCAAGGTCTGATATGATCGCCCTCTACCCGGTGCTCCAGGCCTGCGGCTTGAGCTCAACTCTGGAGGCATTTAGGTTTAAAACTAGAGGGCCGGGTTACCCTGAGACAATGACTTTTAGCTTGGGATCCGACAGATCTACAAGCTCCTCATCCCGATTTTAAGTGCCTGAGGCAAATCTTGAATAATCACCATTCACACTGCATGTGTGAGCCACAGGCCCGGCCTGTTTTGATGCAAGTCAAAACCCAGGGCAGTCAGCCCCAAATTAAACCAGTTGTCTGTTTTTTAGCCCTAGAGAAGTACCTGAACACCCACATCGAAAGAAACTGCCATAAAGACCATTACAAAACAATAACTTCACGTGTCACTTTGAAATATCCATCTGAGTCCAGAGTGAAGGAACAGTCCGTCACCCCAGCTGGCCTCGGCAGGATCTCCAAGTTACTTGTCCAGGGTGTCCTACAAAAACGTTTTCTACAACCGTAAATGGAAATTCCTTTTTAGCATCCACCCTCGCACAGTCCTTGTCAAACCCTCTTCCGAACTGGAACCCTTGCTCTGTTCCCTGCACGACAGCCAGCTGCAAGGTGGTAGTGATACTGCTGGAAGCTCTACCGTGCAGTTTTATTCGATTGTAGGTATTCACCCACAATACATCATTTTGCTCTGTAACTTAGGTTCCTCGCTGATACAAAATTCCCGTGAGGCAGCATCTCCCAGTAACGCTACCTTCCTTGTGTCGGATAGGAGACTCCACGCCATTCTGGTAAACAATAATGTCACCTTAATCATGTACTGTCTTTGTCACCTCTCTACATTAGTGCTGTATGGTTTGAGCAAGAAACTTTCAGAGCTTTGGAAACTCCAGCTAGTACAACATGCCGTAGTGCACTGCATCAACAATATACCCTACTGGAAAGTACATTGTACTCCACATTGTACCTCCACATTCTGTGCTTGATTCAACACAATACTGATGCCTCTGTTCTTGTTTTTAAGGTTCTGTATGGACTAGGTTCAGGATGTGTAAAAGACCACCTAAAGCTTTGGCTACAGACAGTCTTACTTCTCTGGCACAAGGGAATATCTCTAATCAGGAGAAAACTCCCCCCTGTGGGAGATGGACCCTTGTCAGGGGTTGGTCTGAGTCTCTAGAAGGAACGTCAGAGGAACTAAGGACTATCACAAACTTTGGTGCTTTGCCCTCCAAGTCCAAGCCATTCTTTTCTAAGTGAAAGACATAGCAACACATATATTTATTGAAAGCAAATATTAAAACAGGACATTCTACCACATGCACTTCACTCCCTGGGAAGAGGATGAGAGAATAAACAACACATTACATATGTTAGTTGTGCTGGTTATTTGCACTACTGGCAGTCAGCCACTTTGAAATTACAGTGATGAGCTCAGTTTACGAAGCTAGAATATTTTTCTTTTTTAGATTTACATTCCACCCTATACAAAAGACTCAAAATGGATAGAAAGGAATAGAACACCCTGAAAGTTACCAAAATGATATTCTGACAAACCAAGGAAGGAAACAACTCCCAAAGTCAAGAAACCTCGTCAAGAATGTCACAACCCAGTGATTTTTTGTGCCTCGGCACTATGGAATTTCCTGGCCACACGAGAGCTCCTTTGCACGGCAGAGTGTTCTGCTGCAATTGAGAACCCGCGTGTAGGAGAGAGTTCCCACCAATTTGCAGTTTCCTTTGCAGGATGCATTTCTTCTTTGCAGCACAGAAATGCACAGTGCAAAGAGTTCCCGCTATTCGAATGTAAATTTGTGCCCCGCTATTGGCCAGTGCTAAATTATTCACACGTGGCGGCTAGTAATTGGCTCGCTGGCCGTTTAAAATTCTGCGTGACTTCCGAAGAGCTTTGAGCACACTGCAGAGTGCCTCTGAAGTTATCTGACTTGCGGCTGCCGATTGATAGACTGATCACCTATCGATCTTTCTTCCCGTCGCTGAGCGCAATCCCAGACGTACCCCTTTCCCTGCCGGCTTCGAATTGCGGATGGATTAACTGGCTTGGGCCCCGCCAGCTGGAACAACTCGCGTGGTTGTTCAGACGACCGGACCACCTGCGTCGTGATTGCAAACGGCGTGAGTAAAGTTTTTTGCAACCAATAAGTTGTGTCTGCCTCTCCATTCACCAGCCCGCCCTAACGTACGACCAATTTCTAACGCAACTCGAGTCGGCTGTGGCCATCTGAGACAAAGAACATCTGCTACCAGAAGTCTGTATTAGTTTCCTAGTATCCTCTGTCTGCTCCCTCTATTGTAACTAGTGAGTAACTTTATTTCAAGTTGTTTCTAAGCTTCACAGCAAAAGAGATTTTTATTATTACCTATGATGGTGGCTATTATGACAATGATGGCTATTATTATTACTACTACTATTTAATTAAAAATAAAATTATTATACAGTAATTTGAATCATGATGATGATACTGAGCTCAAATTTAACACTTTCAAAGCACTTTACATGGGGGTAAATCTCATTATTACCTTGCCACAGATGGGGAAATCGAGGCATGGAGGGGTTAACTAACTGGCCCAAGGTCACCCATCAGGCTAGCCAAAGAGCCAGCAATAAAATCTGGATCTCCTGAGTCCCAGTGCAGTGCTTTCTCCAGTAGCCAACATTGCCTCATTAAGGAATGCTTCAAAGTATTCATTTTCTAGATGTTTACTAAAAGCTCCCAAGCCTAAGGGTAAGTATAGGTGGAATTAGCAAACAGGAGATGGTAACTGATCATCATGGGCTAACTGGAGATGGAAGCTGACCTTTCAGTAATGAGAGGATAGAGTAAGGATAAGGCATTCATTTATTAGATTTACGTGCCACTCTTCCCAAAAAAGGCTCAGGGCAGCTTATAGTAAAAGACCAAATAAAAACACAGCATAAAATATTCAAATATATGACTGGCAGTGGAAACAAAGATAAGGAGCTTAAGATTGATGTGCTAGAGAAGGGGGAGCTAATGGAGAGATGGAGGAAAAAAAAGAGGATATGGTTAAAGCAACAGGAAAAAGCTTTAAAAACGCCTGATTCTTTTATGTTCACAAACATTTTATAGCAGATCAGCATTGTGCTTTGGGTTTTTATGCTCCACAATTTATATTAGCAACAGTTGAATTTTATCTCATCTGCGTGGGATAAAATTGCTGTTATTGTGCTTATAAATTAACAGTGGTAGGATTTAGTACTATGAAGGAAAGAGGAGGCAAGACAGGAGAACGAGGGAGGTATGAGGCTGAAGGAATGGTCAGCATAGGGTTTTTGTTCTTTCTATCATTGATCCATGGTTCTAGGGTAATGAGCATTAGGCATAAGAAAGTTTGCTTGCTTTCAAATGATTCCTTTGGTCATCCTCCAGGTGGGACAGTCCTTTTTTAACAAGCTCTCATAAGAAGTCAACAGGATGAAAATGTAATCTCATTCCACTGCTTATGAAAGAATAAGAAAGGATTTTGGTGGCAGTCAGCTTAGTAAATAACTAAGCTAGCTCATGGTGGTAGCTCCTGCATTTTTGTTCAATCAAAATGTATATCGAAGCAGTAAACAGAATGGTAGGGAATCAAGTTAGGCAATGCCTAGGCACTGTGAAAATTAGTAGCATCAAGTATATTTGGATTGTAGTTGGATAGAATGATAAGCAGGTACATTCTTAAAAGAAGAGATACGTTCTGGTTCTTAAAACAAAATGTTCCTTTAACTAGGATGTGGTTTGTAGATGAGTTAGTCATTTTGCGTGTGTGTGTGTGTGCGCGTGCCATTCACAATTCCTTCAAACTTCTTCCTCTCTTTTCTGATGTTAACTTTTCCTTTGGTAGTAACTCCCAACTATTAAATTAATAGACAATATTTATCCCTTCATTAGATTTTAATTTGATCTTGCAGTTACACAGTCAAAACCTGTGAAGTCCTCTGGGAATAATGCATTCATATTGTGACGTCCGTGGGCCTCACGTCCGGTGCCACCCTTCGTCCGGTAGCCCCTCCCCTCATCCCGCCTGCCACGACTTTGATGTTATTGGTAATTCAAAGGAGGGGTTCAGTGGAGATCTTCTACCAGAGGGGCTTACCCCACGTGGGGGGTACTCACGATTGGGTCCTCAGGTGTTCCACGGGGCTCCGCCACCCCTACACCACATCCACTCGCCAACCGGTCACTTGCCTGCTATTCGCCGGCCTTCTTGTCAACCGGAGTTCCCGACCAGAGGGACCCAAGCCAACAGTTGACTTCAGTCCGCCTGTCTTGGAACCCAGCTAACCTGGCTGCTAGCTCGGGTCGTTTCCTTTCTTTCCTCCCCTGATCTTTAGAAATAATACTCCTCTGGGATAGGGAGATTTCCCGGATCAATGCCTTGACCCTGGCAATCCCCAGGGATCACTCCTCTTGCCCCCGCCGGGGCTTCTAATTCTCGGTCCCGCTGCGGAGCTAGTACAGAGCTACCTGTTTGAGGCTCCTGCTCCGCCGCCGGCCGCGGCCACGATTGGCTCAG